ATATATATACGACCCCATGTTGGAAGTGAAGTATTTTTTAGCATTAATGTCGTTACTCTGGAGATTAACTCGGTGTACGTACATAATCCGAAATTTATCTTTTGCCCATTATAATTTTAGTCCTCACACCAATCTAAGGCCGTTTTGCCAACCGTTCTTTGATATAGGTCCACCAGATGCGCCAACAAACGTCAATATTATGGATGTTGACTCAGACTCTGTGCAACTGGAATGGAACCGTCCGCGCAATGACGGTGGCAAACGGATTTCCAATTATATCGTCGAGTACCAGCCAGTCTCTGGCGAAGAATGGAAGCGTGCAACGACTGGACCCGTAAAAGGCACTGCAGCAACTGGTAAGCAAATTTTATCAACACACAGCCCTAAGAAGCCTTAATAGATGTAAGCGTTCATTTTGGTCACTATCTTCGTGATAACAAAAAGATCGGGAAGTTTATGCCATTTAATTTGAGATAATATATAAAATACCTTGGATGTCATAGACGTCATTCTGTATGAAGAATTCATCCATATTTGACCATTAGTGCCCCTTTTGTATAGTATACGGTAATATAGAGTGACAGGTTGGAAAGAAGTATGGATGAACCTGAGTTGCTTCCTGAGGTTTACGATTCGTAAAAATGGAGGATCCTGATTTCTATCTGAGGTAAGGGTAGGTGTTATGTATGCATTAGTTATTACCAGCAGATGCTACTTTTAAATGACTGAAAATAAATTGGGAATCTAAATTAATATATATCGCATTATGCATGCTTTAAACGGGCGAATGGCTTCAAAAATTAGCATTACCTTTCAAGTATTTAGGAATAAATTTTTACTCCTTTCCAGTTATCATTATTTCATATAAATCAGGCTTTTGATTGATCGATCTCACTAAACATTTTGTTTCCTCCTTAAATACAGTATCTGGTTTGACTAAAGGAGAGAAATATGTATTTCGAGTTCTTGCGAAAAACGACGTTGGTTTTGGAGAGCCAAGCAAGCCTACTAAGGTCGTTGAGTGCAAAGGAAAATACAGTAAGTAATTGTTCTAAAGAAATAGCTTTGTTTATACTCTTTTTATATAACTTCGCTACCTATTTCCTCGATATCCTTTTGATTATGTCTCCCCATTTCCCTCATACGTAATAATTGTGTTTTCTTTTTAAATAGCCCTTTATCTAAAAAGCAACATTAAACTTCTATAATAAAAGTCAGCCTAGATTATATGCGGTAATAACCACAGATCGCCCAATTTACCCAAAAATATATGAGTAGACCTTAAAGTTCTTTTCAATTTGCTTCAGCCTTGCTGTCCAAAACATATATTCGTTGAGGCCGGACTATAGTTTCTAGCTCTACTAGATCTCAACATCCTCCTGAGTAGTACGCCGTAAAATTTAGATACATTGCCACTTAGCCCCATCTTCATTAGCAGCCTTGGGTCAAAGGGCAGAAGTGAATTTTATGGAGGACCAGGCCTGTCCTATATTACATAGTATTGTAAGATTGGAAATGAGATAATCTTATATTTTAACATTAGGATCGAAACTGCTGTCAATCAAAGATTATAATACCTGTTGGAAAGAAATGAAAAGTTGAATTTAATGGAAGCGTTTAAGATTTTCATAGCATTATGGTGCTTAATCACTTTATGCGGCCTAGAGTAAACAGAACTCTTCCTCAAGATTTACCGATTGTCTTAGCACCTACTTACATAAAATTAATTTGTAATTCCTTCAATTTGTGAGGGTCCTTTAGGCTTCTGCCCATAGTCCTGTAAAACATTCTACCAGGTTAGGCACGAAAGGTACGATTATCAGATAACATTTAAGAAATAATCCCTATTTATGATTAAGAATTTATTAAATGAGCTATTTAACGGCCATACATAAAATATCTTTGAAAGAAGATCAGCATTAATGTTTACGAGCCAATTCTTATAATAGTATAGTTAAGTATAAAGTAAAAAATATGCATGAGTAGAATTTATATAAACCTTCGAGATAATTTGTTCTTTTAACATCTGCCAACCGAAACATGTGCAGAAATAGACATGTTTCTATGCACACTACTATTGCTGTGAGAATAACCACAAAAATGTTTATTGTAATGTTTTTATTGTAAAATAAAGTTTTGTAATGGAGAATTATTTTCAAACAAATTTATCTTAGCAAAAGCTGGTCCTCCTGGAAGTCCTACTGCGGACAGTGTCGGCAAGGACTACGTGAATCTCTCCTGGACTCGACCCAAAAACGATGGTGGAGCTCGAATTCTCGGGTACCTTGTGGAAAAAAGGAAGCGCGGCACAACTAACTGGGAGCCTGTGGAGCCGAGTAGTGGTACCAATGCAGGAGAAACTATTCCTTCAATAGGTGCAGATGGTGGGTTCTCAGTACCTATGACCACGTCAAACTCGATGCATGTAGGCGGCCTAGAGGAAGGCAGCGAGTACGAATTTCGCGCTACTGCTGTAAACGCTGCAGGACCAGGAGAGAAAGGACAGAGCTCGGATCCCGTCAAAATCCAGGACAAGAGAAGTAGGTTGATCTTTGTTTGTCCAACAAGCTTCAGATAGCAAAACAAATGGGTCTCTTGATTAAGGTTGTTGCCAAAATTCCGCTATTTATAGAACAAAAGCAAATGTATATTGCCGGCATAG